TTTGACATAAAATATAATGTTAAACTTATTTCAATTTATTTTTTCTTTGAAGTCAAAAAAATTAATTTTAACATTTGAATATACTTAAATTGCCAATTTTATCAAAAAACGAATGCGACGAACGTTTACCGTATCAGTAAAACTCATTGCACGTGGCAATGATTTTTTTGCAATTTTTCCGTAATTCTTTTTGAGTTAGGATTTTACTTTTTAATAATCTATCAGTTTCTTAAAATTAAACACTACCTACAGATTTGCATCGNCTATCAGTTTCTTAAAATTAAACACTACCTACAGATTTGCATCGAAGCGTTTCTTTTGATAGTGATTTTAATCACTGTCAGATATCATCTATACTAGTCCCAACTATGCCACGTTCACACTGTGCAGTGACCCTCTGTGCTATCGTTTTTTTTCTGTTGTCATTAATTTTTTCTGGTTATGAAGAAGAAGAATGTTTTTTCTTCTCTGCTGATTTTGTTTTGTAATGTTGAACAAAAAATAAAAATGAATGTGTTTCAGCCAACTGACAGTTTTTTCGTAACTGAAAGGACAGTGTGATTCCTTTTGGATATCAATTGTGATTTACTGTGCAGAAGAAAGTAAGTTTCTTCTGTGCTGTTGCATTTTCCTGTTGATGTGATCATCCTGAATTACTGACTATTGAATTCATCGCATTACATCAAACAAATACTCAATGTCAACAGTGCGAGTAATTATTCAATACTCATCTACATATCCAGATACAAAGGGTACGCTGCTATTGGAATATTGTGATTTTCTATTCATTTTTATATATGTATAAAAGTTATCAATTTATTAAATCAGTATTGAACAGTTTTCTCGATTGCGAAAATAGGTTTCAAAACTGATGGGACTTCAGTATCCGTGGACTCAAATTTTTAATTACACGTTTATTTTTGCAGTATACAAATAAAGATAATTAAGTTATATAATTGAGTTTTTATCAATTATTAAAAGTTTAAAAAATTTCTTTTTATGTTTTTTATAGTCCCAGTAAAATGTCTATTAATTTTTTGAACTGAAACTATAGATTGAAATTGATATCATTAAATAGAAAATTTTATTAGAATTCAAAAAAATGGTATTGTTAAGATTAATATATAGTCAGGAAGTTTTATAATTACTATTTAAAGTAAATTTATCAGAAAAAGATTTACTTTTTCCGCTCTTATATGATTCTGATTACATCATATCTTCTCCTATTACTTCCATTCAAAACAAATCACTTAAAATGTTTAAAATTGTATTTTACTTAGGCATTACGCATAACCAATAAAACTCAACTCGACGAAAGAAATAATTGTTTTGAGGGAATTGCGAAAATCTCCAATACCATCTACATTTATGTCATTAAACTTATAATACCTTTATTATTACTAAATAGAAAGGTAGTATTTACACATGAAAAAGTCATATCGACGAGCGAGGTTAGCGGAGATGTACAGTGTATGTTTAAATAGCTAAAAAGGACAATTTAAGCTAGTTCAAAAATACAAAGACGTTTTTTTTAACTTAGAGGAAGCAAAATATTCAAAATAAGTTTAAATTTATATTAAATTTAAATTAGATTCATGTAATTTTAAGAAAAATCGGTGGCTTCAATACTATGGCAAACCTTAGTAAGGTACTTACCATAGTAAACAAAAAAAAACAGTAGCACAGTGTGATCGTGGCATAGTTGGGACAAGTATAGATGATATCAGACAGTGATTAATTCACTATCATATAAGGCTTGCTATGCAAATTTGTATACAGTGTTTAATTTTAAGAAATTGGTGGATTATTCCAGAAGCAACATGAACTCCTATTTCCTTATTAATATCCTGATTACAAGTTTTATGAATTATGTTTGTAATACATGAATAAATATTAATTATAGCAATTATATAGTATGAAATTGATATTTAATAGTTTAGTTATATAATTTTTACGAACAATGACCGATAGTATGAATACAGTTACCAAAATAATTTTTTAACAAATATTTTCATGACAAATACTGTTCTTAAAAGTACCATTTTCAGTGATATTATCCCGATAAATATTTTCCGAAATAATACTTTTCAAAAAAATCATTCCTATCAATTAAGATTACTTTTAAATAACGATCTATAAAATAAAATTCTTATTAGATATTGTTTCGTTATAAACTATTCCGTATGTTTTCATTCTTGAAGAGTATTTTTTTAATTTGTATAGCATTCAAAAAAATTTTAATTTATAAATAACACACACATTTATATATACATATATATAGAAATTTATATCTACATATTATTTAAACAAAGAATAAACAAATAAAAATAATTAATTGCCACATTTATTGTAATATTATTATTAAAATGATGTATATATGTTAAGTACTACAATTATTATTTTACATAAAAAATAATTAAGTTCTAATAAAATTTTACTAACTATAAGACATTTGCATTTTAAATTGTGAATTATGTTACCCAAATTATTTTATTCTATTTGTTATACTTTTTTGATTCTAACTACAAAATTCTTTGTAAGTTGTAGAATAAAGCCAAAAACATATGAGAAGTATTATTCAGAAGTAATGGATCATATAAGTGAACAAGTTGGATGGGATTATATGCAGTATTTAGAAGTTAAGTCTTCTACAGAGAAAGGCTGTAATATTAAGGAAATTATTTGTAAAAAGAGTCCTATAACAATATCAAAAAAATTCGATGCCGTAATTGACACATTGAATTTCACGTACGCAGAAGTCATCAAAACATTTATTGATCATATTAGCATTATAGCTAACCAATGTCAAGAATATTACAGCTTCAATCAGGAAGATAATTTATTACGTTGTGCATTTTTACTTCAAAGTGTTGTGAAAAATTCGAAAACTATGTTTGAACAGTTATACAATGTAATGAACTATCTTAGCAACATTGATTTTAAATTATTAGCGAAATTGAAAACAACATTCTCTATACCAATAGTAGATGAAATTTATACTTTTGTAGAATATGCAACATTAAAAAGTCAACAAAATTCACAGATTTTTATTAATTCAAACGATTCAAGCACAAAAAAAATGGCTTGTGAAGTTATTTTGGAAGTGCAAAGTTTTATCGAAGGAAAAGTTCATGATATCTACCAAAATATTAAAGTGAAAAATAGTACATACATTTACAATCATAAACCAAATTGCCTACTTGAAGAGAATCTAAAAGACTATAAAGCACAACAAAATAAAAATATTGAATTGAGTCAATATTTAAGTGAATGGCTTAAAATATATTATAATGAAATTTCTAAAAATTTCTACAAAAATCTTGGATTTGAACAAGTTTTAGAACCAATTGAAGAAGGGTAAGAAAATCTATTTGATATTATTTTAGAGTAATAATTAACGCATCAATTAACGCATTTAAATGCGTTCAAATTTATTCTATTTTTTCTTGTACTACCATTTAAAAAATTCTTTATCATTTAAAGAGATTTAAAGAGATATGGTTGAGAATAGAATAAATCCAAATCTATTATTTATATCTTATTAGTGTTATTTGGCACACTAACTTGAAGAACAAATCTGAATTTCTGAGTTTCCCCAATATTGTGTCTTCCTAAAGCTATCAACTGTATAATTATACTTGTACTGAAAATATAATTTTAAAACAGAAATCAACATTATTCACTTTACCTATTTATTTTTTACAAACAAAAAAAAATGTTCTTCATAACGTTTATACGCTATATGAGAGTTTAAATCCCCTAACCTAATTAGAATTCAAAATTTTAGAAAAAATTAGAGGAAGTATACTTAATAAATCACATTGCATATATTTTTTTGTAGTTTCAAACATCCAGTTCATATATATAAAAATACTAGTCAAAATCAGGTAATCGAACAAATAAACAAAATCACTAGAGAAAGTGGATGGAATTCGTTGAAACATATGAGTATTATATTTAATGGTCAACTTATAAGCGTAGAACGTATTCTTAGACACCCGGCAGACAAAACAAATTTTCATTGTAAAAAAGAACATATATTAAGAGTTATCAAGTGCATTTATACAGAAATACTGTTTAAGTATTGCGACTATGTAATTTCTCTATTAGATTTTATTAAAACGGTAAATATAAAACCTAATGTTGCAGTATATACAAACTTGGTGCGTCAAATTTTTGATACAATTCATAAGACAACTAGAATGTTTAATATAATGTATAAAACATTGATTTCTTTAAATGAACTAATGGGAGATTATTTTTATAACAACATTAATTCGAATATAAAATGTTTGTGTAATTTAATAACAAGATTACTTGACGAAATAAATTCTGGAAATTATTCGATTCATGTTTTGGATAGCAAAAGTGATCTCAGTAAACAGAAAATATTGCAATTTTACCCAAGAATATGCGTTAATAACTTCTTAAGAGCTGTAAAATATAGCCAATCGAGTAACTCTTCATTACCTGTAACGTATGAAAAACAATGTCTATTACAAAATTTTGTGTTAAATATTGACATACCTGAGTCAATAAGTACCGACAATTTTTCATCTGCTTGTGACGAACTTATTGTATTTTCTAATAATTTTATAAAAGTTTACTATGAAGAGTTAGGTTTAAATAAATTAAATTAATTTATTCGTCAATTTTATATTTATATTTATTTTTAGCTTCGGTGGGAAGCTGAGAAGGTATTAATTTTACCATGATGTATTTATTTATTTTTTTTTTTTTGTGTCTGTCACTACTTTTTGTCAGCTCTCACTAGACCGATTTTTCTCAACAATACGTTAAAAGATCACAAATCGTATATAGTTGAAGATAAAACCCTCAAAAATTAAAAAAATTGTGTCATTCCCCGTAAATGGTGATAATCTCCCAAAAAATTACGATATCTATTTATATTTTGCGATATTTTATTGTCATTCGTGTGACTTAAACATTTAATTAAATCAACCGTGTAGTGTATAAAAACAAAACAAAATATAATATTATTACCTGCAGGTTTAAATACAATAATCCAATAATATAACAAAGTATTATTAGAATCTTTAACAATTTACAATGTAAATTTTTGTAGTTAATAAAAAAATTTTACATTTTCATAGCACATCAACAAAAAACTTCACTTATATATCCTATTTACTATAATAGTACGTTTTACACTATGCAAGGTCGACCGGCAGGCCACGTGAAAATTGGCCATTTAACAACCAAGTAATGAAAGGGATGAGTGTAGTAATACAACCTAGTGAACGCGCGCAAAATTCAAGCTCAAGTGCGTCGCGCAGAATATCATATTCGTTATATTAAGATTTTTGTCCTTTTGTACGACAAATGCTAACTTATGGTACCAGTTTATAACTGGATACTGGTTTTTACTAATTATTGGTATTTTTATGTCTGCATACAATTTTGTCATTTAGCTTTAATTATCAAAATTAAGGTTTATAGACGTCTGTCGTTTCAAGTACGTTGATCGTATAAAATACACACACTATTTGTATATCTAGACATTTCTCAGCCAACCTCCTACCACCTAGGTTTAAATATGTTAAAAACGTCTGAAATATTGGTCCAAAAGTTATTATACTCCAACCATTTCTTAAGTAAATCTTACCTATCAAATAATCTATCTAATTATGTTTGTTGCTATTTGGAAAAATAAAGTTCACACCATTATAAGGTTTAAGGGATAAAAATTAAGAAAATTAAAATGTATATATATATTGGGCGATTCACTTATAATGAACCACTTAGTTAATCGAAAAATAAAAATAATATTATAATTTTTTTATTACTTTTTTTTTAGTTCGATGTTACTCTTAATTTTTCAATCCTAAAGGTTTTCTCATGTTCATCCTCTATACCTCATAGAGGTGTTAACTTTAATTTCGCCAAAGACAAAATTCCTAATTTACTAGCTTATTTAATAGATAATTATCTAATTAAGAAAATGTTTACATAAACGTTATGTTCTTACTAAACCATTATCAATGAAAATGACTTAAGTCGCTTATAGATGAATTTTGAAATAGATTCAAAACAGTGTCGGCCTGGCTTACCCTACTAACCAGCAATTTTCATGGTTCCTTGGATTTTTTTTAATATTAGGGATTCAAATTCTATAAGCTACTATTCTCTACCATACCTCCTAATATGGAAGGGGATGCCCAACTGATTTACTTTCTACAAAATTATCAGGAAATTATTTATCATCGTGGTAAATTCCTAAATATAGTTTTGGTAGGTCCACTGGAAATGTTGTACCTGAGGCCAAACACGAGCCAGTCCAAGAGTAGTTCAAAACATCAGTATGAAACTGTACACATAAATAAATAAGGAATAAAATTAAGAATATATAATTATTTAATAGCTCTAATATGATAGTCTAAACCAGTAGTAAAAAAATGTTTATTAAGTGTAATGCGGCCACAAGATTTAACAAACATTACCAAGGTCGCAATTCACAATGTATTGGCTCGTATCATTTGTATGATATATAGCACAAAATATGATTTGAATTAAAAAACATCAAGTCAGAAAGCATGTTATAGTGTAACAGAAGTTGTGGGCAGAAATAAATTACCTATACATGTAAGTTTATGCTATTTCATGTTTAATGAACGGTTATCCATTATTCCTACATAAAATTATTCAATAGATAATATTACACACAATCGCCAATATAAAGTGATGAGCGACCTTCAAATCAAACTATTTGTTAATTGAATAACCATTATAATAGTACAACATAAAATAATGTTCCATTATTAATGATTTACAATTTTTATACGCCAAAAATAAATCATTTTAAATATTTATTAATAAATTAATAAATATTTGTTTATAAGTATATTGTTTGTTTTTGCATATCAAAAATCTGTTTCAACGCTCGATTTTTTAAAACAGATTTTTTTTTGAATATTAACTCTAAGTTAAAAAAAAAAATTACCTTTTGTTGTAATGATAATCTAAAAAAAAATTCAGGGTTAGGAATACAGAGTTCCACGCTTAGATAATATATAACATACTAAGTTGTAATTTTTATTCATTTAGAGTAGTTAAAGTATAAATCAATGGAGGAATATCAATTATAAATTACATTTTAGTCCATATGGTAAGTTTTTAAATTGAATGACTGAAATTTGAAAATAGTTTTATACGTGTGTCTGTCCCTACGCCATTAACGAAAACAATATTATATTTGTTATTTTTTAACGGTGGTGTCAAATATGTAACAAACACCTTGAATTTTTCAGTAAAAAAAAAGTACAAGTCCATTTAATATAAAGCGAATTCGACAAATCGTGTAACATTTATTTTTATTAATCACGAGTAAATATTTATGTATAATTGTTAATTTTCATTTACATAATTACCATACGGATTTTCAATACAATCAAAGATCATCTTAACAATATTTGGTTGCTTATAGTATGAAAAATGTATCTATTTGATTATTACAAAAAAATGTTGGCAATTTGAAACATAACTTGATTTTTTTTTAATATTTACAAAAAAATCGTATATTTCATTTAAATCGATTCTAAAATAGATCAAATCACGACCAAAAAATTTAATTAAAAATCAATATTGAATAGAACCGTAATTAGTTGATATTTAGGAGGGGAAACAGCCTTCCCCCATTCTTATGGGCAAATTTTAATATTAAAGAGCAAAACCTGTAAATATTGTCAACGTACGATCGATCCAAAAACAATGTTTTATTCTAATAATATTTGTATTTTATTTTATGTTCTTCATTGTATGATTATCATCATAATTTCGATTAGGCTTGAAAAAAACAGCTGATGAAAAATGTGATGGAAAGAAAAATGTTGACCAAAATTTAAAACGGGGCCCTGGTGTTGAATACTGGTATACATCATGATTCCCTAATATTTTGACAGACCTCTGAAAGACAACGATAACATAGCTATTTTCAAAAATTGACTTATTTTTCGTTTAATATGAGTTTAAATTCTATTTTTTTCGTAGTAGTAATTTAATAAAAATATGGCAAAAATGTGTTGTTTTGCAGTTTGTGCCAATGCTTAGAATGTTTCTTAAAAAAAATTCTAAATTCAACACAGGTGAAGATCACTTTACAATAAATTTTTAGTATATTATACACGTGTAGATAAAAATACTGCCGGATTACAATAAGTTAATGATGTAGCCAAGAAGGACAATGGGGCTGTATGTCTCCGCATTGACCAATTATTACTATAAACAGTATACGACTTTGTCTTTAGACATTAGCTACACGCGTTCTAAACTTCTAAGAAAATTAAAACAAACATTAATGTAATACATGAATATTTTTCACGGACTGAAACGTTAATGATTAGAATAAAAATGTCTCTGAACTTTCAAAAAAACAGTTTTGCGTTAATACGTCGATGAGATATTTTGTCTGGCGCGTGTGTAGCAGTAGGTCATTATGGGCACGGGCCTCTGTAGGCGCCTGTGCGGTTTTTTATGAATGAAAACTAAAATGGGCGGCGGCAAATCTGGCAATTGCGCAATGGTTTAATTACTCGCAGGTCAAACAAATAAATGTATAAATAACTAGAAAAAAACAACACGATAATAGTTTCACTACTTGTCCGTCGTACCGGCACGGAGGTATTAGGCGGACGCCGACTTCCGGCGAAATGCAAAAAATAAAATCGCGTGGGCACCCGACTAGTTGTTGCAGCGTATCGCCCACGTGCTAGCCTTGGCGCCGCCGGTTTCATTCATTGACGGCACGGGCTACACGGTGTGTAATAGTCCAACTTGGCCGCAACCATTATCGTTATAGATGTTTTTTATTTTAATGTACATTTGTGACGACGAGTTCGCCGTCACTTTACTGTACACGCTCAAAATTCGGCCGCCTTGCAGTATTCATTCACTTTTTTATCCTTCTCGCGTGACCTCATCGCCTCGATTCGCCACTGACTTTACCCAAGTGTTGACTAACATCCGGCCGCTGGATTCGTAATCATTTCGCGTGATTTACCTAACCACGGTTTAATTATACCCGTATAATTTGCCATTTTTTTTCATGTCTCCATAATAACCCGTCGATGGGAGCGAGAGCAAAACATATAACGTTTTCTGATTAAAAATCTTACTACAAGTTTTATTTGAATGAAATTTTTTTTTCAAAAATAAAACGTCGTTTTATTATGAATTAATAAAGTCGCCAAAGAGTATAATATTCAATTGATAATTGAACTCGATAAAAATTGAAAATGTCCAGTGATGTCATTAATTAAACACTAATTGTTTCTGACACATCGATTCATGTCGTAGATCGGAAAATCTGAGAACAGTTTCGGACAATAAGTAAGACTTTCTAGAAAACGACCAACTTAGTTGTTAAAAAGATTCATCCGTGTCAGCATTCAACAAGTATACTACATTCGATTTCCTGCTTGTTTTACAACACTTCTGCGTACTCATTAAAACCTTCCGAGCAATTTTCCCATGATAATCGCACGGGAATCGCATATCGTTGAACTATCGAATCACCAACTTTGATCGCTAATTATAATCAATCAGCGAAAATATTCAGGAGCGTAATAAGGTTTGCTCGGTGAAAACATTAGACGGTAATGTTAGAGGCGCACAGTCGAGTACGTCGGTACAGAAA